GGGGAATTTTTTTTATATATATATAGTGCCTTATATTTAACAGGCAATTATTCTAGATCCTCATTATGCAAAAGAATACTTTTGAGCAGCATTTAATGCCATTACGATTCAATAAACAAAAATCTCGAAGAGTTACATAATTTCAACCGGAGAAACTTCCTTTTTTTCTTTTTATTTGTTCCTTCGTATTCATTATGGTCTGGACTTTTTGTGCAGGTTCGATCACACATAATCAAACCCTGGTGCAAACAAAAGAACCGAACCTAGACTCACTTTTTAAGGTGATCTCGGTCCACTTCCAATCCAACTCCGGTGCGTTTCGCTTCAGGTGTGAATGCAGACAGGTCATTTTCTCTCCAGGATTGTTCTCTGCCCCGCCCCTATCATTTCTGTCCAACGGGAGAAAGGATCCCACCCTGGTTCATTTACAAATTATCGTTTGATTGCAAGAAAAAGTACAGTAAGTAAGAAAAACTGCACCAAACCAATAAGTAAAGTGCACTTTTGGGTCTTAGCAGTGCTAAAAGCGAGGCAGGTTGTGCTTGTATAGCAACAGATTATTTAAACTGTGAGTCGCATCACCTGAGTGAAAACCAGCAGCTTCCTGCCAGATCTCTGACCTCATCGTCCTGCACCAATAATGTCGGCTTTCTGCTTCTGAAAACGTAGGAATAGTGAAGCTGGCTCGAACATTTCCCTTAAACGTAACGCAATTGGTGTCAAACGATTTTGCTACGGTTGTGCAGCAAAAGTTTTTTTGTGTTGCTTTTGCTCTGAAGATATTGATGACGACCTCTGATTACATCTGGAAACTTCTTTGCTACTATTTTAAAAATGAAAACGACACAGATGGAAATTTTTACTACACAAAGGTTTGACACCAATTTCGTCAGATTTGAACAAGATGGAGGAGGGAGACTTCACTCGTGTTTGCTTTTCAAGCTCTTTGAACAGGATAGAGTGTAGATGGACAAGAAAAAGCGTCAGAGAGAATAAAACTTGCAATCTAAACAACAATCATTTGATTTTTTTTCCCCCTACTGAGTTATCAGATTATTTTCACTCAGAAATGACTTTTTCTCATCGTCCTGTCTTGCTTGCCTCGCAGGATCCCACTGCCAACTAGAACGTGAAGCTCCCAGCCCGGATGATCATCCACCGCTCCAGCATGTCTTCATCAGCTCAGATTATTTCACAACGGCTGGATTGCTCAATTCCTCATGTGTGCCAAAATGACAAGTCACAGCCTCAGTTTGTTTAGTTGGAATCTGATAAAAAATACTGTTTTTTTCTGATGTTCCAGGTTTGAGAGATTTATAGGAAGAGATGTATTATTTTAACCTTTATAATCAACACTTGTCATCTAATACAATCAATTAGCAAAACAATGTTAAAGCTTGTTGCTCTTTCTGCACAATTAAACATAAATGTGAAACTTGTGTCTGTCAAGATTTAACCTCATTTTTTTTTGTTTTTAAGGCTGAAATCATAATAAAGACAATTATCCTCTATGTTTCGCTGTGATTTTGATTCTTATGAAACAGCTATTATTATTATTATTATTATTATTATTATTATTTACATAATTCAGTTGTATTAAATATGTCGTCTTGGTGGTGGGGTTTGTATTTTATTAAGACATGATTGACCCTTTACGTTTCATATTAGTTTTTTATTGCAGACTAAACGATTCGCAGCTGCTGACAGAAAACTGCCGACAGGATTCATCCGACCAACGAAAGACAAATGAGGTCACGCGTGGTAAAAGTTACAAACATACCAGTAGAGGGCAATAAAATAATCTGCTCGGGTTTTATTTCTGTCCCACTTCCTCCATTAAAATGAATAAGATGCTATTTAAAACATAGTAAGTTTAACCCACAAGTTACTGTGATCTGGATATTTTTTTACAGTATCTTTGCTAAACGCACGGCGACACATTTGAGTATTTGAGGTCGCAAAGTCGTTTGTGAGCTTTGGACTGAATGTCAAACGTTTACTTAAAAAACATATATATAGTTATTTCTTTCTTAAAATACTTAGACTAAGTACATATGAATTAGAAAAATGCAATCTTATTTGTTAATGTGAGAGAGAGTTGTTATATTAGAGACTCAACCATCTGATTTAATCAGAGTCAGGAGGGAAGGAAGACCAAAAGTCCTTTTTCTCATCTTAAACAAGCTGAAATGCTGAAAGCAGCAAAAGTAGTGGAATAAAAAAAAATCCCTTTCCTAGGCTTCGTACCTGCGAATTAAACACGTTTTTCTTTAGAGCTTCACATTATCTGGAACCAAGTGCCAGAATCCCATTTAAGACCTTTTAATTAATGACTCTTCCCTTTTTTTTTCATTTTGAGGAATCACAGTTTCTTCTTTCTGAAGAAGTCAAAAGGAGAACTAAAAGAGCTGACCATGACATTTGTTGCATTTGTGATCCTGGGAGTGAAATGATCTAATAAAAGAATAATTGCTGTCAAATAACTGACATTAAAGTCACTGACTGAGGCCCTGCTGCACATCCTGGGAGGTTTTACGGGTGAAGATGCCAGACAGAGCATGGGAGATTTCTCCAGTTACCACACTTTCAGAAAACAGCTCATTTGGCTGTTGGGAAATATGAGCAGTGCCTGTTATTAAGATGACGCTTCTTTAACCTGCGGCTGACAAGCTAACAGGTATGCAATGCTTAATGATTCTGTTAAAATATGAAACTGATTATTGAGACAGGAGTGAGACGATGAGAGAACATCTTTGTCTGGCCGATTATTAAACATGTAAAATGAGTGAAAAATCACAGCACAAACTAATCAAATCAAAGTAATGTCAAGACATTTTCCGGTTTCATCCATGGCTCCAAGTTTCACATCGGAAAGCAGGAATGCTGGCAAGCTTCCAGCACAACGTCAAACTCTTTCTCAACATTATCAAAGCCTGAGATAAGAATCTTCCTCCATTGTCACAAGATAATGTGGCGGATAACTCAACAGCTTTCTGTGTGTGGGAGTGTGTGGCAATTTAGGTGGGAAGCATCCTGATAACAATCAATGAAAAAATAAATTACCGTATTTTCCGCACTATAAGGCGCACCGCACAGAATAGACGCTACAGTAGATGCTGGAGTTACGTTATGCACCCACTAGATGGAGCTGCACTAAACAGACTGGGCCGGGGCGTGGCCGGCACCGCGCGCTTCTTCTTCTACGGGTGAAAATGAAGTCGTCGTAGTTGCTAGACCTGTTGTGGCTCAATATCGGTCCATATATAAGGCGCACCGGATTATAAAGCGAACTGTCGGCTTTTGAGGAAATTGAAGGTTTTTAGGTGCGCCTTATAGTGCGGAAAATACGGTAATCTGAAAAATCTGGCATGCATTTTTATATCATGGATCTACAAATACTTACTTGACTTAAATTCACAGCTACTGCTGTTTCTCTCAGCTGCTGTCACACCAAGAGATTTTATACTGACATGCTTTATGTTCACCATCTTTAGAGGAAAGATCGACACCCTGGCCTTCTCTGTGTGAATCTGTCATCAGGTGAAATGTGCTTCCCATGAGGCTGCATTACCACACACTCCCACTCAGAGCAGTTGGATTTCACGTTAAGTTGTTTTGTCTCAACAGGAGACTCTTATCTCAGCATTTAATTTTGAGTCAGTGCAGAACGCTGAGCTGGAAGTACAGGGAAAAAAAAAAACAAAGTACCAACCTTAGACCCGTTGAACCCGTGAGCGAGTTAATCCGTTCCCGTTTTCCTCTTTACTATTTCAGCTGAATAAAAGCCACTGAACACGCTTCGACGTATGACACAATTCACATACAATTCATTTATGTTGCTCCGTTTATCAACCAATGTCATTTCAGTTCACCTTCCAACACAATTTATATGAACAATTACTGAATAGAGAATCTTATTCAGTTCAAATCCAGATCATTTAAACCAGTTGTTTCCATTAAAATGTAGTCAGATTCATATTTATTTACATAACACAAGTTCTAATAGATTTAGAGAAATTCAGTCATTCAGTGCCTGTTAATTAAAAATCATCTGTCCAGAGAAACTGAAATGATTTAATCGACTCACTGACTTTGAAATTCCTCATCCTTGGCAAGCAAGTGGAGGCGAATGACTTCCTTTAATGACTGGTTATCTGCCTCAGCCGACTGGGCATTTAGAAATTTATTTAAAAAATAAATTCACTTATTGGAAACACAGCAGTTTAAAAAATAAGTTTTGATTCTAGGATGAGGTGTTTTATTTCATTTGTCTCCCAGAACTGCAACGGAGACACTTTTTTCTTTGCATCACACGAGTCAAACTATCAACAAGTTGGTGTTGAACTCAACGTCAGAGACTTCAGCAAACGCAAATATTAATAAAATAGCAATTAGTGGAGAGGGATGAATAGTTCACTATTTTATTTGGGACATCAGAGGTTTTATTTGTCCAATTAAAAAGCACACCTGAGCTATCAGGACCTGTGAAGTACATTAATTTGGAGTCCAAAGCCGTAAAGCGATGCTCCAGATTCTTGAGTGCACAGAGAGAGTTCGGGGAAAAAAAATACAAATTATGATTTCAGGTCTTGAAGGAAAATGGATAGACAACCATAGCTTCAAAAACATTTATTACATGTAAAACTCTAAAGTGAATCCGTATCAGAGAGGAGTTACTGACTTGTCATATAAACATTGATTCTGCTCCACAGAAGCCAGAGTTTCTGCAGCAGCAGCATAAACGCCGGGAGCAGTCGGAGGTCACTCAGCTTGTTTCGCTGTGAAGCAGGGATTTCCCTCAGTGCAGGAAGTCCATAAAAGGAAGTGAGGAGCTTCTCCTCTTTCAGAAGAAAACAGACAGAGAAGAGGGGGGGCGGAAAAGCAGGAATGACAGCTTCTTTTTTTTTTTCATTTTCACTTCTTAGGAAGAGTTATTTTTGCAACTGTGAGCGTATAAAAGGTGAAGCTCATGGCGTTCCAGAGTCAGACAGCAAAATCCACAGAGAGGAGAAATCCTTCAGTCTGGAGAGGAGAAACCAGTTTCACTCATTTCTACCATCTGAGACAAACATGAAGTCAGCTGTCCAGCTCATCGTTCTCCTGGCCTGCGTCTTCCTCTGCACGTCAGGAAATCGTAAGTGTGCTTTATAAATTCTTTTTGTTTTATTGGGTATGAACTATCTTCTTAACTTACGCTGTAATAATTTCTCCCCAGCTATTAAGAAATGCCGTTGTATAAATACGATCCCGGCAGTAAGGCGCGCTCTCATCGCTGATGTAAAGGTGTATGAACCGAATCCATTCTGCAGCAAGCGTGAAGTGATGTAAGTACCTGCAGAAACAAATTGTCGAAACGATCAGAAACATCACTGGAAACTAAAGACTGATTTATTATTCTGTTATTGCAGAGTCGTCCGGAAAGATAATAAAGAGTTCTGTCTCAACCCGGAGTCAGATTTCACCAAAAGCCTCTTGAAAACGTAAGTGAAAAAGTAATGTTTTACATAAAAACTTAAATAGGTCAGTAGTGTAGCAGTAGTGCATTGAACAGTCAGCAGAGATCAAATCTAAAGAACTGAGTTCTTTCTACCAGTAACAGAGGCCTAAACAATCGGCTCCTAAATATTCTCTTGGAGAAGATTGTTGACTATTTCATTCATTTTAGGCTCAAACCTCAGCGCTGAATGTGTTACGTTGCAGAGATTTAAACGAGTTAAACAAATTCAGATAGTTTCTTTTTAGATGCATTAAGAGTGGTGGTTTCAAAATGTTTACATTTGGTTTGTTTTCTTAACAGGAACACGAAGAAACTTTCAACAACAACAACAACAACAACAAAAACAACAACAACTGCAGCTACAACACAATCAACAGCAAGAGCAACATCGTCTGTCACAAATCAGTGATGTGAAAGCTGATATTTATTATGCTTTTGTTTGTTTTATTCTATGAAACATAGTTTGCACCAGCAGCTAAAAGTAACATATTCATTTTATTTAATACCAGACTAGAGAGTCAGGACTGAATTACTGGTTAATCTGGTTAATTACTGGTTAATTTGCTGATTACTGGTTAATCAGCAAAATGTGACCAACAAAAACCTGTGGATTTATACTTTGTTTGATATGTACATTTATTTTTGAAGGATGTAAATATATATACATTTACAAATTTGCTTAACTTAAATAAATATAAAGTATATATTTAAACACAACACTTCTGTCTTTTTAATGCTCCGTACTGAAACATTACTGACTAATCTGGTATCTGTTAAAACAGACGGTGGAGGAAATTTCTCGATTTATTATTGCACATAAAAAGAGACACATTCAAAACTATAATGTCTGGTTCTGCTGTGACAACTTGTCACCTTCACTCCGGTGCAGTAAAACAAGCCCAGAGTTATTTAATTATCTCCGCGCCTGAAGTGTTTCTTACTACTTTTGTTTTAACAAACTATTTTGTATCTGTTCTGTTGTCAAGTTAATCATGGATTCAGATAAATTAAGGT